TTTGGGGGTAGGGCTGAAAGACCTAAGCCTCTAATCATGTGGTTGGTGTTTCTGGTGACCAACTGCATCCTGAAGCTGTCTTGCTTACCCCCCATGCACTAAATAAGTCACCTTCTTAGGATGAACTCAAGTATAGTTGAAAGGGGCTTATTATTTATAACAAAAGACACTCCTAACATTCAGGAAATTCCAGGGGATTTTGATGCTCTGCCAGGGAGTAGGACAAAGAGCAGATATATTCTTTATTATATCACACCCTCCTGTAATATTATTTGAAATTTCAACATTATTTTTTACTGAAAACAAATTGAATAAAATAATTTTCATATATGTTGTGTGTTTTTAAAAATTGTTTCATCAGTTACCTACTATTCACAGCTCTCCAACTGCTCTAAGAAATGCTTTGAATAGGAGTTCCAGAAGCTCCAGGAGATGGGACTAATTTCCCTAGTGGTAGTGCTGAAACTATAGCAATACTGTTGTGCTTGGACAAGGTGAAATCAAATCAGATCATTTAGTCTGGTCGATGTGCTACACAAGTCCTTCTCCCATTCATATAAAATTAGAAAATTCAGTTAATTATCCAAGTGTTTCCAAATAATTGGTTGTTGTGTTAATGTGGACTCATACATGTTCTGTATGTACCTTATATATAAATTATAATTTAATATAAATTATTTGGCATAGGAGTAGTTCAAAGGAGGAAATAGAGGGATTGTGAGCTACAGTAACTCTGGGATGTCTTTAGGGATGAGGTAGAATTTGAACCTTGAGAAATGGTTAAAATTTAGATAAGTTGAGGGGAGAGAAGGAATGATATTCTAGATAAGAAAAACTGTGTGGGGGGGGTAAGATTCATCATGGCTTGTTTGTGCTTATATAAAGCAGAATGGCCTTATTTTAGCAAATTGTGTATGTGGAGAATAGTGGGGAATGAGATTAGATAGACAAGCTGGGATTAGATTATGTATGCTTTTCAAAGGCCAGTAGAATGGTTTTACCTTCACGTGGTAGGTAATTGAGAGTCAAGTAGGTAATTGAGAGTCAAAAGAAGGGTTTTGATCCGGTGAGTTAGAAAATGGAAAGTGTATGTAAGAAAAATGAATTGGCATGTGTATTGTTGGTAAATTAATGGGAGGAGAGACTGGAGAAGGGGGTAGAAAGCTGGGAACTAGGAGGTGTTTCAATAAAAGTACCATAACTAGGGAGAAGGGGAAACAGAAGAGGGAATGAATATTAAAAATTTCAATGGAAAATTTGATAATGCAAACTTGAATGCTAAGTACAGAGGAAAGGTGAGTCAGGGATTGTACGGTTTTTAAATTTTTCTTTTTAATCCCAATGTGTAGAGAGTGTGTTAATTTTATTGGTGATAACTACATAAATCTGTTACAATGTAATCTCTGAAAAAGTAGGAAAGATGTTAGTAACCTTGATCAGAGTGGTATCCTCAGTGTCTGGAATTGTGCTTGGCACATAGTAGTGCTCAAGAATTAGTAGTATTGGTTGTCAAAGCAATGAAACAATGCATTTAACCTGTCAACCTTTAGGTAAATTTCAATTGCTATCTGTAAATTTAGAATATGCTAGTTTTTACTACCAAAAAATGACTTTTAACATAGTACTTATTGATCTTTTCTAGTAGCAAAAATTATGTTTTTATTAGAAAATTTGGAAAATATGGATAAGCACAAGAAATAAAATTACAATTACTTTTACTTCAGAGATAACCACTGTTGGTATGTATGTGTGTGTGTGTGTGTGTGTAGATAAGCACAAGAAATAAAATTACAATTACTTTTACTTCAGAGATAACCACTGTTGGTATGTGTGTGTGTGTGTGTGTGTGTGTGTGAGATAACCACTGTTGGTATGTATGTGTGTGTGTGTGTGTGTGTATATATATATATATATATATATATATATATGTTCTTCCAGGTTTTTTTCTATGCACATACATATTTGTAAAATGGGATCATATTGCACATGTTGATCTATATTGCATAAATGTCATTTTTACAAGTAAAATGGAATAATTTGGGCCTCCAAATAATGAATGACAGTAAAGGATTATAACCCATAAAACAATAGAATAGTGTAGGAATCCATGAGTGCATTCTCTCTCTCTCTGTATGTATACACACAAATATATATGAAATATGAATCAGAAGAGAAAGTTTTCATTACAGTAGAAGGAAATAGTGTAGAAGTATTGATAGAAATAACTAGAGAATTACTGTCTCGCAACCACTACAGCAATGCTTGTTTCAGGCAAGAATCATCAGTGGGTGCTAAAACTACTAGGCAGAAGTTCAATGAGAAACAGGATATTTACATAGTCTCAAAGTATCGCCTCACAATTTATTTATTACAAAGGGAAAAATAACTTCACAGTGGAGAAACATGGCAGACACCACCTCACCTGAGTAATGATACCTAACATCACCAGTAATGGGACAAATTGATGTCATCTGCTTTCTGCTAAGATGCACTGAGGAAGACACAATATCACTTCTGGGGTATTCCTACCAAAACTGCAAAAACATCCCAAAATATTAAGGTCATGAAAGACAGAAAAGATTAAGAAACTCTTCCAGGTTAAGGGAAGCTAAAGAGGCATGACAACCAAATGCAACTTTTGATCCTGGACCAGAAAAAATGATTTTTTTTTTCTATAAAGGATAGTAGTGGGACAAACAAAATGTGAATAAGGTCTGTCGATTGGACAATAGTATTGTATTGGTTTTAATTTTCTACTCTTAACAGTGTACTGTGGTTATGTAAGAGAATGACCTTTTAGTAAATACATACTAAGGCCAATTTATTCTCAAATGGTTTAAATATACAGAGAGAGGGACAGAGAGAGAATGATAATGCAAATATGGTAAAATGTTAACATGGGGAATCTGGGTAAAGGATCAACATGAATCCTTTGTACTAGTTTTGTAATTTCTCTGTAAGTCTGAAATTTTCTCAAAATAAGTTAAAAAAAAAAAAAAAAGTGAAACAGCCAGAGCTGCTGGATTAGTCACCAATGAACTGATGAATATTTTAATTAATCTAGGTGGTATTTGTTTGTGTATGCAATGCATGTTGACTCCAGGCGTCACCATTCCCTTTCTATATTTTTAACCTGTGTTACCAGTATTTTAAAAGTATAGCGTAAGAAAGAGCACTGGCTTGGCCTTCAGGAGACCTAAAAGGAGACTCTTAGGTCTGCAGTTAATCTTTCAGTGAAACCTGTGGGTCCCATGTTCCTCATCTGAAAATTTTGCAGGGAGTGGAATAAGCTGAAATCGTTGGCTAGGTTCTTGCAGTTCTGTGATGATGGGTTCTAGATTCACTGACATGGTCAGAACTCAGTGAAATGTTACCTTATTGTCAGCCACTTGAAGGACCGAGCCTTCTCATACAAGTCAGTTGAAAAGATCTGTAGAAATCAGAGCTAGAAGACACCTGTTAAGCCATCTAGTCTATCCCTCCACCTGCAGAACCCAGTTGTTCACAGCACACTCTGTTTGGACCAGGGCTGTCCTTCCTGTGTTCCAGGCATTCATTATTTCTCCAGAGACTTGACTTGTGTTTTTAGTTCAACCTTTCTTTTAATCATTTGAAGAAGGGAATGTGATTTTCTTAACTCTAAAAATTTTCATTTCTTTTATATTTAGGCTTTTGGAAACAGTAATTTGTTGTTTTGGCAGAGATTAATAGGCAGGTGGACTGGTTTCCTCTAAAATCACAAAAAGACTTGGTTGATAAGTAGTTGAATGTCTAGCAGTAGTAATTATGTGATCAGAAAGTGATGGGAATTGAAGTCCAAATTTTGTAATAAAAATTAAAATCTTAATGTTTGCATAATAAATTGCTAGAATAGAAAATGTAAAAGGAAAGTTTCTTTGCTTTTACCTTGTTACTAACCCTTTAAATCTGATACTCTAAGAGAGAAAGAATGTAGGGATGTAGAGAATAACAAACTCTGATATTCAATAAATTGCTAGAATAGAAAATGTAAAAGGAAAGTTTCTTTGCTTTTACCTTGTTACTAACACTTTAAATCTGATACTCTAAGAGAGAAAGAATGTAGGGATGTAGAGAATAACAAACTCTGATATTCTGTTAGTGAGGATGTAAATTGTTTTATTCTTTTCTAGAGGTAATTTAACAATATCTATTAAAAACAAAATAGATTATGTGTGCTAACTTGAGTTCCACTTCTAGGAATTTATCCTGTAGAAATACTGATTGCAGCATTGTTTGTGAATGTGAAAACTTGGAAACAATCCACATGTTCATTGTTAGATTACATTAATAAATTATATCATACAACGGATTCTTATACAATTATCAGAAAATAACGCAGGAGGGTTTTTTAATCTTAATATGAGATGGATTTATTATTGCTATTTTTAAAAACTGTTGTAAAATATGTATAACATTTATCATTTTAAACTCATAAGTATGCAGTTCAGTGGCATTAAATACATTCACAGCGTTGTGTAACTATCACCACTATCTGTACCTAAAATTTTTTCATCATCCACAATAAAATCTCTGCACTCATTAAACAATAACTCTCCCTTCCAGGAGGTTTTTATATATTGACATGGAATACTGCCCAAATACATAATTAAGTGATAAAGGAAGATTACAAAGTAGTGTGAATATTATGGTTCAATTGTGGTAAATTATCATAAGCTAATATAAGTGTAGGAGAAATCTGGGAGAATATATATATTCATATATATTAAACTGTTAAGGGGAGATATTATAGGTGATTCTTATGTTTACAATATATATTTTGGTAATTTTTTTTTTAACAATGAGTATGTTACTTTTCTAAGCAGAAAAAAGGATGTACTTTTAAGTATTGTACTAAAACTTGGTAACTTGGATGCCTTTGATTTTAGCTAACAATTAACTGACATACCTATGCAGTTGCTGAATTTGAGCTTATGTGGAACGTAAACACTTTATTAAACTAATGATTTTTCTTTTCACAGCTAGAGTTGGGAAGACATCACTGATTATGTCTCTGGTCAGTGAAGAATTTCCAGAAGAGGTAAACATTTTGATTTCTTTACTATATTAAAAATTTTTTTAATTTATCAAAATTAAGTTAAATGAAATAAATTTCACCCTTTTTTTGCATGTGTTTCCTTTCTGACAGTTGTGACTTTTTAAAAGTCTCATGTTAGTTTATAGAGGACATCCCTGAAATACAGTGTAGGAGAAAGAACCAAACTAGGTCTAAGTTCACCCAAGTTCTTTGCGTTTCCTTCCTTTGACCTTGTCAAGGACATTTGTCACCTCTGTGCCTCAGTTGTCTCATCTGTAAAATGGGAGCTGAAAGGGATATAGATATCATCTACACTGTTTAATCCTTTCTTAAAAATAAAATGTTGCTTATAAGTCCAAAATATGAAAGAGATGATGAGTGTTTCCACAAGTTAAAATTAGGATGAAGGTCTGGATCCCTGCTTGCCTTCCACCTGACATTCTCTTTCTGGTCTTTGAGGTTTTTTTGTCAGAACCACTAGAATTCTCACACGTATATTTGAAAACCTTTAATATTATCTACCTGCCTCATTTTTTACAAGTGACAAAACTAATTCATTCTTCCTTTGCCTACCTCAAAGCACTGTTGTGGGTCTCAAATGAGATGAGTTTAATAATAGTGGAATGCCACCAAAAAAGGTGTTTTTTTATTATTGGCAGTATATCTATTTACATTTTGGAAGTTCGAGTGTGAGGGACTGCTGGCTAAGTCCTTTATAAAGTAAAGTTAGGATATTACTATAGGGAATGGGATCCATGCAATGGTATGAAAATGATATTTATTCTCTTCCTCACATGGTAGGTATTAGCGTCACACTTTGCATTTACCCTTTCTTTACTCTTGTTTAGATAGGACTATCTGTATAATTTCATTGTTCAGACAGAAATTTGATGTATTGTGTGTTAGTGTTTTCAACATTTACAACTTTGTTTCATTTGATCATTCTTTGTTTCTTTCTTTTCTTAAATAAGATAGTTAAATAATTACTTAATTTGAGAAATGAAGTATATTTTCATTTGCCATTTGTGGAATCAGTAACATTAATTTATAGTCACTTGGGGTATAATACCTAAAAGTTTTTGGTGATAATTAACTTAGTTTAAAATTGTTTTAGCATAGTCCTCTTGAGTGTGCATAAGGGATTTTTAATTAATTAAAAAATTATACAGTCTTTTGGAAAAATACAATCATTAAAAATAAGGCTTATGTAGCTAATCAGTTATCTTCTCAAAGAAAAGAATTTTGATAATTTATTGGTTTATTTGAAGATAGGTTTGGATTAACATGCTCCTCATTTGCAGGGTATCTTTTTTTTTTTTTTCCTTTTTGTCTTTTTTTACTGACCGGTAACGGGATCGCAACCCTCGGTGTTGCATCCGTACTGGGGACCGGCAACGGGATCGCAACCCTCGGTGTTGCGCCCGCACCGCGCTCAGCCAGTGAGCGGGAACCGGTCTCCACATGGGATCCGAACCCTCGGCGGGAGCGCTGCCACGCTCCCAAGCGGCGCACTTTCCAGTGCGCCACCAGGCCGGCCCTGCAGAGTATCTTAAGCCTTCAACAAAGTAGAATCAAAATGACATTTTAGGGTCAACCCCGTGGCGCACTCGGGAGAGTGTGGCGCTGGGAGCGCAGTAGTGCGCCCGCCACGGGTTCCGATCCTATATAGGGATGGCCGGTGCACTCACTGGCTGAGCGCGGTGGTGTGGCCGGTCACAAAAAAAAAAAAAGACATTTTAAAAATCTAATGTTTGAAACATCAAATTAATTTAAGAATTGTTTTAAACTGTTTTAGGTCTGAAGTATGCATAATATGTCCTGTGCTTACATAGATAGTAAAGTACATTTTTAAAAAATATTTTATCATACTTTTTTTTTTTGGCAGCTGGCTAGTACAGGTATTGAACCCTGGACCTTGGTGTTATCAGCATCATGCTCTAACCACCTGCGCTAACTGTCCAGCCCTATAAGTTTTTTGTTTGTTTGTTTTTTGTTTTTTACATAATCTGTTAACAGATTTGATTGATAATATCCAAAGTTTTTTTCCTTTTCTGTATTTGTTTGCAAACGAAGGTTCCTCCCCGTGCAGAAGAAATCACCATTCCAGCTGATGTAACCCCTGAGAGAGTTCCAACACACATTGTAGATTACTCAGGTAATGAATATCCTCTTGTGGGTGAAGCTGTAAAGTGAGTTAAATACTGTAGACTTGAAAAAAGGTACTTAATGAACTTTTAAAAATGTTCAAAGAGAGGAGGTCCTTTCTCTGTAGCAGTAAACAATCTTTTACTATTCTTGTCTCACTTTTCTATGCCAACTTCCATCCCACAGCCACCCAAAGCCTCCATCTGGCAGTTCTGTCCCCAAATTACTAAATTAGGTTCCATAATAATGAAAAGGAAGGAGGAATGGTAAGTAGACAAGTCATTACCCTCCTTGAATTGGCATGTTTGTAGAGAGAAGTTATCAGGCATTCAGGTATGCTCTTAATGATTTAGAAGGAGTTCTAAATTTGAGAATTTAAGTTCTGAATTTGTTCTTCAGTTTTTCAACTGAAAATTGAAACATTTGTCCCAAATAAAATAATAATTAAAACAGTTGTCATCTTGCTTACATTATATGATATATAAGTACATCTGTATAGCTCTTAGTAATTAAATTTTTTTCTACACACTACTACTTAATCTTTAACCATTAAATTATTTTGCTTTGTTTTGGAACTTCTTTTTTAAAAAACAGGTATAAATACATTGATACCAGTTTATTTTGGTAATCTGGTATTCCACATAGTCTAAAAAATAAATGCTAGTACTGCTCTGTCCAATATTGTTTACCTTTTTAAAGGACACTACTAGAAAAATAAAAGCTACATTATGTGGCTTACATTGTATGTCTGTTGGACAGCACTGTACTAGAAGCTGAGGGGTGATGAATGCCTTCTATGGTAATCAGTCTTGTAACTAGCTTTATTTACAGAATTATTCTTTTTCAATATGTATAGCCATACAATTCGATTTACTTCAGTATTAAGAATTGAAGCATTCACCCATTGATTACACAACATATGGAAAGATATTAAAAATATGGCCAGTTACGGGCCGGCCCGTGGCTCACTCGGGAGAGTGCGGTGCTGATAACACCAAGGCCCCGGGTTCGGATCCCATATAGGGATGGCCGGTTCGCTCACTGGTTGAGCGTGGTGCTGACAACACCAAGTCAAGGGTTAAGATCCCCTTACCGGTCATCTTTAAAAAAAAAAAAAAAAAAATT